AGCCAGGTTGTACAATGGAAGATGAGAGACTTTGCCTGCCGCTGCTGTTCTGATCGTCATCTCCTCTATTAGCACCGCTAATCGATGGCCGACTACGACGATGCGTGAAGCTACTACTAAACCGATTAGAGACTGACGGCCTTGGCGAGCTTGCGACAGAGTTATCTGCTGCAGTTGGAGGTGGTACTCCTCGTAAGGAAGCTGCCATCCCAGCTGTTAGTGAGGAACGACTCCTGACGTGTGCGCTTAAACCCGAAGTCCGATTGAGGGAATGCGGTGACGGCGGAACATCTTGGTCCTGTAATCTAGTCACGGGCGAGCTCGAGAGGGAGCCATGCTTAAAGGGAGATGACTGGAAGGAGACAGACGGACGCCTCGGTCTATCTACCCCTCTAAGAGATGGTCGCCGAGCAGGTCCGGTAATAGGGAGAGTGTGGGGGGGAGCTTCAACGCTCGCAGGTCTAGAATCGGGCGGTGAACTGGTATCCGAGCCTGGAGCTTTGACAGCTTTTAACGCTGAAATCGGGCTTGTGCCAACGGGCCCTTCGCCATGAAACGTGGATAAGCTACCATATCGTTGCTGGTTCTCCGTGACGTCTCGTGCGTGGCGGTGGTATGGAAGCGACCCAACTTCGGGGGCGTATGATTCGTGGCGTCCATGACCACGATGGGGTAGCGACGGCTTAAACATATCATCAGAGATGGCCATACCGATACGGGAACTTAGTAAAGATTCTGTCTCAACGACTTGGAAATTGCAGTTGTTGCGGTAAGAGACAGAAACATAGAAACGCCCCACAGGTATTTCGAGGTCGCCAAACACGCAATCCGTAGAAACATCCCCCCTTCCGTTATACAACGGCATCCTCAGAGTGTCGGACCCATACGCTGGGGCCTCCCCTGAAAAGACTCGGCAGCGGATTGACAATGCGGGATGGCTGCCTTTGGTCTTGGAGTTCCTGGCGAGTTTCCATGCGGGCAAGATACCTGTAGTCGTATATATGGATCGCATCAAGACGATAGCCTTCTTGTATACTGTTGGAAGTAGAAGACCAAAGTCATCTGGCTTATCAGGATTTGGCCCTTTCAAATCAACTCGCCACCGTTCTAATACAAGCTGCGTAATGGGCTCGCCCTGACGACCAGAGCTGCTATCGCTGGACTGATCGGAAGAGTTGAGAGCTTCGACGACATCCCACCGTTTCCCATTTTCGTCTACAATTATTAGGCTCTGGCCGCCCTTCAACCAAGACGCATCAAGATAGGTCTCGATAACTAATGGAGGGGGTCGATTTTCGAATCCACCGCATTGTTTCCATATGCGAAACTCTTCTCGGAAATCATCGATATCGTCGGTATCGAGCTGGAACTATAAAATAGCACATTGTGAGATTCATTGCAAATACCCCTATTTAGGATCTAGACTTACCCATCGGCTTGTTCTCTTTTCGTGGGACCTACCCACAAGAATCGGAGTTACCTGTATGCGTGCCTGCAAGATTACGGTGCCCGCCTTCGAGTAGATATTCTATATTAACAGACTACTTGTCAGAATTCATGAATGAGGCAAGCCGGGGGACAAGACACCAACCTGAATGATCTGGTCCAATTTTTTGATGGACTCTCGAGTAGGACCGCCTGCATCACCGCGATTACCGCCACCTCCTCCCGTCGTCGTCCCTTCCTGAGCCCTGGAGCCTGGTCTAGACGATGGGCGACTGCCGGGACTTGCTAGATCTCTCTGGTTGTTGGTTCTTGTGGGGTTTGTTTGGGACGATAAGGCGGGCGAGGCTGTGCGAGGCGGGGCGCGGGGGGTCTGATGCATCGTGAAGTCGTCGCGACCCAGACTACGGTTAGCCTGGTAGTAAATGGGTGAAACCAAGGGAAAAGAGGCGTGATTGATTTGCCGTTCAGGTCGGACGATGCACAATCTCGAGGATATACCGAGTAATCTGTGCCACTGGGCGCAGAAGAGGCGATATAGGGCGTATTACGAAGGCCCAAGTACGTTCGTTAGATGGAAACGGAAGTTCTAGCTCGATGCCACCGAACTTTGGCATCCATTGTTCGTAGCCTAGAATATAGGGCAGACAGATAGGCAGACTAAGGTATCCACAGATTGTTTATACAAGCTTATACAGAAGTCAAAGGAGACAACCAGTCGCGGCGTGTATAGGCTGGACGGGCGAGATGTTGAAACACGTAGGCAGACATACAACGACAGAAGAGGAGGGTCCAAACAAAGCGTCGATTGTGTTGAATTGGATTGTTCTAAGTATTGATCTGTGTGTAAATGGTGGCGGGCGGCTCTGCTAACTGGATGCGGGTGGCTGCAGGGTTTGGGTTTGGGTTTGGGGGGGGGGGGGGGGGGGGGGTTGTTTAAGGAGGAGCTAGGTAGAGCTGGTTAAGCTGGTAAAGCTGGTTAAGCTAGGTTTATTAGGTGGACAGTGCCATCGTTGCTAATTGTACCTGAAGAGGAGGAAAGAGGAAAGATAGAGGGTTCAGGGTTGATGGTTGATGGTTGATGAATGATTGCTCAAGTCTAAATCTCGATCCTATCAGAGATGAGAGATAGAAGATGGGAGTTGGCGCAATCGAGAGCAGCGGTATAGATGTGAATGGTAAATGACAAATGATGTAAACCGTGCGATTAATCGCGAGAGATATTCAGACTTGGAAAGAAGAGACGAAAGAGTCAGACGGGCTTCTCCTCGTGATCTCTTTTTCCCAGGTTTTCCAAGGGGTATCAAAGACCTTGTGGCCATCCGTCATCGGTCCGGACCGTGCTAGTTGAGGATTGGCGGAGAGTTGGTAGTTGGGAGAGCCGATCGAAGCAAGCAGTAGTAGCAAGAGGCACAGAGGCGCAGAGGCAGAGAAGAGGAAAAGAGATAGGATGACGAGCCGACCGCCTGATAAGAGTTAATGTTAGGAGGTAGGGTACCTACCTAAGTAAGCCAAGACTAAAGTACCTATCCGGGTGGGGGGGGTCCTAGGATAGACTGATACCAGTCTATTAACATTATGAAAAAGGGTTAAAATAATTTATTTAAACAATAAAAACTTATACGTTTTGTATCGGATATTATTCGACCTAGAAATTTTTATTATTTTAATAAAAATATTCCCAAGGTTTTATATTTAATTTAAATATAATAATAAAAATAATAGTTTAATAAAGTTAAATTAATATTATTTTTTTATTAATATTGTGTTTTTAATAATGTTTTAACTATATAATTATAAGGTTATACGAATAAAATATATATTATATATAATTATGTTATATTTATAATAAAGATATTAATGTAATATATATTTTGATATAATATTAATGGCATTATTATATATTTATTTAATAAATATTGTGTATTAAAAAATATATATATTAAAAAAAAAAAAAAAAAAGCTATTTTAAATACTTTTTATTTTATGGTATTTAAAATTTTATTTTTTTTTACTTAATTATAATAAAATTCGAATAAATATAAGTTATTATAAATTATTATAAATTATATAAATTTACGGGTTATTTAAATTAATTACGAGGCATTATATTATATTATATTACGTACGTGTATAAGAAAGTAATTTATTATTTTATATAAAATATATTAAAACATTTATTTTTTTTAAGTCGGTTAAAGTGTTTTAAACTTTTAAAGGTTATTATATTAATAAAGCTTATTTATTATTAAAATAATAAAACATATAATTTTATTAAACTAGTTAATTTTATATAAATTTAACGTATTAAAACAAGTGTAATAATTGTATTAATAAGTTTTATTAAACTGGTAAAAGTTATTTATTATTAATGGTAATAATATTTTATTTTTAATAGTTTTTTTTATTTTTATAAATATTATTTTTTTAAAAAAGTTTTTTTTTTATTTAATTTTAAAACTATTAGTAATATTTGCCGCAATAATATAAAATTATTAATATTAAAACTATTTTAATTAACGTATTATTTTTATAAAAAAGGCTTATGTAAAAATGCGTGGTTAATAAAAATTTGTATTTTTATAAAAAAAATTAAAAATAATGTTAACGTTTTTTTATATAATTATAGTATAGTTTTGTTAATAAGCTTTTCCCGAATTAACATTATAATATATTTTAATATTTTAAAGTTATATTGTCTTGGGACCCCCCCCACCCGGGTAGGTATTCATTTTGATTGGTTGGCTATGACGATTTCGTTAGTTGTTTTAGTACATAGAACCTTAGTTATGCATAGATACATTAGATACGTTGCTTATCACAACATAAAATGTACAGTACGTATATTTATGTGTAAGACTGTAAGAAATATCCATTTTGAACATCTAAGTCAAAAGACTTCAAAGGTTAAGACATTCAACTTTTCCATAAACCTTCGAGAAAGTTACCTAATTATAATTAGGTAGCTTACAATACAATTAAGGGTTTCTGCACGCGACATGTCACAAATTAACAGATGATCAAAGAATAAGAACAAAGATATTAGTGGTTGACTTAAAGTACCTAACGTACTTGGATATACTACGAAATACTAAAGATTCACTTGAAAATACCCGTTCCTGGCCTCTTATTCCCCAGCTATATGCATGATTCTGCTGCGACCAGGCAGGCCACAGGCACGGAGCCACGCAGCAGCGGCAGGGTTTTGCAGCAGCTATCTCCAATCAGTACGAATAGAGAAACCGGAGACCAGGTTGAAGTTGTACGTATATGTGTTGTTCAGGTATCTAAGTATATCTACATGATGAACATCTTGGTGACAGAACCGACTACACATCATCTCCCCCTTAAAGTAAAAACGCCTCTTAGGTACCTACCCTGTTCTATATAAATCAAGGTAAAGGGCTGACCTACTACACCTCATATGCCCTTCGCTACAATAACCTTTGTCAGTAGGTCACTAACACCTGACCAACTTGGTTAAGCATATGTATACCACCTCTGATAAGACGTCCCCGTGTAGATGAAAAGAAACATGTTACCCTCAGCCGTAGATTGTTCCTGCGTTGGGAAGTTCTTGGTCGTATGCATGGCAAATCATGTTGCAATTCTGACGGCTAACTCGGATTAAATATCATTGGACCACTTCACTCTTTATAAAAGCAACACAATACAGCATGTAATAAGCACGGTCTATTTCCACGATACTTGTTCCCATTTACACAACCCCAAATATCTCCCCCCCCAGCTGACATCAACCGGCGGACTTAAACAACGTGACGTGGCGATTAAATATAAATGACATTTATTTAGGTATGTACGACAACTCGCATATTAATCGCTTGAAACCTACTGGAAGCTCGTCTCGAGTAAATGAGGTTTCCTATCTTTCAGTCCCAGCAGCATCTCTCCAAATAACCCGTTAGCCCAGGAAAACCACTCCCGTGTCCATACCGACGCATCGAACGTATCTACAGATTCGTGAATCAACCCCAACCCGTCGGTAGATGACACCAGCTCCTGCAGTCCCGTAAGGATCTCATCGTCGTCGTCGGAAGTCAGGAGTGACGTGATGATGGACATTGGCCAGGCTTTTCCAGGCCCCACGTGAGGACCTCCGGTACTGGCTGCACGTTAGCATCGTTACTTTGAATCGTGTCCTTCATATACATAGTAAAGCCCACGTACCCATTCAGCACAGGCCCGTGCATATAATACGGGTTCCACGTCGAAAGCGCAAATTTACGGGTTCTCTGATACGTCTCGTCCGATGCATCTAGATAATCTAGAATCGGTGCGCTCAGTAAGCTCGGGACGTTGGCATCGTCCATCAGGTTTCTCGACCCAAACCCATCGACCTCATATGCGTATATCTCTCCCAAAACTTCGTGCTGCACCTTACCGTATGTTTCAATACCTTCTCGCACACTGGATGAAAAATCGCTCATGCGTTTTGCGAGTTCGGGGTCATGCGCCTCCATAATCTTGGCGGATTTTCCAAGATAGCTCGAGAATTGCATGTTTGCGGGAATGAACAGCTGGTAAATGGTTGAGTCGTCTGAAGGGCGGAATGCACTACGAACCAATCCGGTCCCGCTCTTCACGGGGTTTCCGGCTCCGGTATTCGTAAGAGTCTCCGTTGCGCTGGTGCTTTGTCGTTGAAATGTATACGGCGACTCGTTAACAGACCCGTCATCATCGTACGTTCCAACCAGAAGACCTTCCGTCACGTTGAGAATTGTCTCGACAGCTTCAACCCATCGAAACTTGCCAAAGAAGTCGGAATCCTCGGTTTTATTATAATAGTCGTATGATAATTGCAGGAAAGCCGAAATCGAATCAAGCTCGTACTTGCATTCGAAAACAAAGCTGGTGTTGTAAGGGGGCGTCACCTTGTCGGTGTCTGCATAACCATTGCTCTCTGGCGGTAAACCCGACTCGGTCGGTGCTTGGAACGCATTACAATATGGATTTCGGATGACGTATCGCGCCTGCAAGTTAATCGCACCGCGATAGAGGGATGCTATCGAATCGGGAGAATCATCTGCTTTGAGAAGTGACTTATAACTACGCAATTGGTTGGCTGAATCGCGGAGCCACATAGCCACAATATCCCCAGTCGTGACGAAGGTAAGCTTAGACGGTGTTAATATGATAGGTATTAACGAGCATAGAAGCGGATTAGTATACCTCTTCCGTCGAATCATCTTCCGCATAGCCTTTCCATTTCACCGTGGTGTCCAGTGTGTTCGGGAAGGTATTTTCAAATAATCGGAAGAGATCCGGGTCCTTCACCACCGCTTTCATATCTTGAATGATCTTCTCGACATCCGAAACGTTGGCTGTCCGACACGCAGCTGTTGGCCTCTGATATGAGAGCTGGTACTTCCCCGCCGAGAAGGGCTCGTGGGTGGTCATAGAGTAATCCGAGTAATCAGGACATTGTGCTGAGACGGTAGAAAACCCCCCGAAGAAGAAAGTGGACAACAAGAGCAGAAGACGCATTGCACCTAACTCTAGGATCTTGGAGAGATCTCCAAGAACGAGTGACGGATAAGGAATACCTACAGACGTGAGCCTGGGGTTACCCCAAGGAAAAAGGGCGAGGCGTCCAGTGATATTTGAATTCATCAATCCGACCTGTTCTTTGTTTTCCCCAGCTGGACTTTCTAGACCGCAGATCGGCGCCAGGCTAACCTTGCTGTTTTGTTTGCAAAATATTCCTGACTGGTCATGTTGATCACCCTTGCAGACGCCCTGGCTACAAATGAGCATATGACGTTAATTTGGGGGAGCTATCATTGTAGTGGTTCGTGGGAATAACATGAATAGAGCCGAGATAGGTCGAGGAGAATGCGGGGAAAGCTTGCTTGCATTCTCAATGGGAACACCGCAGGGGCGGTAACCGGTATCGTTAACGCAGCACCTGTTCCTGCAAGATCCCGCGCACTTTTGTGACTTTTCGACATTGTACCATTTTTTCAATTGAAACGTGGCGGAACGCGACGAAAAGATTATAATAATTAATTAAGTTAATTAATTAATAATAAATAAATAAAATAATATTAAAAATAAAAATAAATAAAAAATAATTTTTTTTATTAAAAATGATATATTATATAATATATTACGTAATATTTTATTAATAAAATTAATATTTAATTTTATATATATATATATATATATATATATATATTTAAATATATTTAATAAATTTTTATAAATATTTTTATAAATATTATTTTTTTAAATTTATGTTTTTAATTTATAATATAATATAATAATATTAATAAAAATAAATATTTTTTTAAAAAAATTATATAAATTAAATATAAATAAAAAATGTATTTAAATTTTTATATAAATTTATTTAATTATATATATATATATATTATAATAATTTTATTAATTTTTTTATTTAAAATATATATTTTTTATTAATTAATTTTATATAATATAATTATTTAATTAATTATTTAATTTTTAATTAATATATATATAATTTTATATTTATTTTTTAATATAAAAATTAATATTAATATTTTATATTTTAATTTTAAAATTAATTTGTTAAAAATAAAATTTTATAATAAATTATGTAAAATTTATTATAATTTAATAAAAAATAAAGTTTATATATAAAAAACGGTATTTAAAAATAAAGGTATTTTTAAAAAGTAATATATTATTTATTATGTTTTTATTTTTATAATTAATTATATATATAAATATTATTTGTAAACATTAAAGTTTTATATGTAAATAAATTATATATTATTATGTAATTATTTTTATGTAATAATATTTTAATATAATAATTAATTAATATTTTAATATTAGTAATTTTTTTTATTATAATATAATTACGATTTAATTATTAATTTAATTATTAATTTAATATTAATAAAATTTTATTTATATTTTTAATCCGTTTTTTTTATATTATAACGTAATTATTAATAAGTTTTAATTTATTATAATAATAATAATAAATTTAAATAAATTAAATTAAATTAAAACGGTTAAATATATAATTAAATTTTATTAAATTTTTTATTTAATTAAATTTTATTTAATTTTTTTATTTAATTTTTTTATTTAATATAGTTTTTTATTAATAAAACTTTTTATTATATTAGTTAAAATAAATTAAAAAAACGGTTAAAATAAAAATTATTTAATTAAAAATAAAATTATTAATTTAAATTAATTAAAAATAATTATATATTATAATAAATTTAATATAATTATTTAATTTTAATTTAATAGTAAAAGGTTTTAACGATTTTAATTTTTTTATTTAATATATTATATTTTAAATTATATTTTTTATTTTTATATTTATATTTATTATTATTATATATTTTAATATAATTGGTAATATTTTATAATAATTTTATTAATTATATATTAAATTTATTAAATTTAAATAAAATTATTTATAAAATTAATTATATATATAAATTTAGTTTTAATATTATTAAAATTAATTATATTTTTTATAAAATCGGATTTAATTTTAATAATTATAATATTAGTTATATTTATAAAATTAATTTTAATATTATTAATTATATTATTTTTAATATTATTTATTATATTATTTTTAATATTATTTATTATAAAATTGATTATAAAATTAATTATAATATTATTTATAATAATAATAAATTATTATTAATTTTAATAATAAAAAAATTAATTATTATTTAAATTTTTTAATAAATGTTAAATTATTTATATTATAAAAAATTATTAACGTTTTTATTAAATTATAAACGTTTTTATTAAAAAATTAATATTAAATTAATATTATAAAAATTTTATATATAATAATAATATATATATTAAATTTATAAATTTTAAAAAATTTTAATAAATACGATTATAAAAATGTTTTTAATATTTAAAATATTTATTAAAAATATTAAAACATTTACGTAATAGTTTTTATATTTAACGTTAATATAATTGGTAAAAGTTTTAATTATTTTAAATAATTATATAAATGGTATAAAATATATAAAAATAAAAAATTAAAAAAAGTTAAAAAAAACGGTAATAAAATTGTTAAAAAAAGTTTTTTTTATATATAATAAACATAAATTATTATTTTATAATATTTAATATATATTAAATTTAAAAATTATTTATTATTTATTATTATTAAATAATTTTAAAATAATTTAATTTATTTTGAAACAAATATATTTTAATTTTTTTATTTTAAATATTTTAAAATAAATATATTTATTTTTATTAAAATTTTTTATTATTTATAATTAATTAATATTAAAAAAATAAAATTTATATATAAAAAACGGTATTTAAAAGTAAAAATATTTTTAAAAAATAATATATTAATTATTATATTTTATTTTTATAATTAATTATATATATAAATATTATTTATAAAAATTAAAATTTTATATATAAATAAATCACATATTACCATGTAATTATTTTTATATAATAATATTTTAATATAATAATTAATTAATATTTTAACAATTTTATTATATTTAATTATTTTATAATTATTTAATATTAATTTATTTAAAATTATTTTATAATAATTTTAATTTTTAAATAAATTAATTTTTAAAAAAATAAAGTTTATATATAAAAAACGGTATTTAAAAATAAAAATATTTTTAAAAATAATATATTATTTATTATATATTATTTTAATAAAAATTAATTTATATAATTAATTATTTTATAAAAATATAAATGGTTAATTAAAATTAATAAATTTTATAATTTTATTTATAAAATAATAAAACGTTATAAAATAATTTTATAATTAAATAATTAATTAAATATTATTTATTAATAATATTTTAATATTAATGTTAATTTAATTTTTATATTAATTTATTTAAAATTATTATTATTTTTATTAAATATAATATATAAATTAATTATTTTATAATTATTTTATAATTATTAAATATTTATTTTATATTTTTATTATTTTAATAAAATCAAATAAAAATATTGTTAAAATATTATTAATAAATAATATTTAATTGGTTATTTAATTATAAGGTTATTTTATAATAATTTATTAATTTATAAATAAAATAATAAAATTTATTAATTTTAATTAATTATTTATACTTTTATAAAATAATCGGTTATATAAATGTAATTTTTATTTAAATAATAATATAATAAATAATATATTACTTTTTAAAAATATTTTTACTTTTAAATATTATTTTTTATATATAAACCTTATTTTTTTAACAAATATATAAATTTTATATTATTATTAAATTAATTAAACTTAATTAATATAATATAAAAATAAAATAAAAAATAAAATTATTATTAAATAAATAATATATAATTTAATTAAAGAAATTTATTAAAAATATTATAAATAATATAAATATATATTAATAAATATATATAATTAATAAAAAAATTATTTATTTAATTTTTATTTTTATTATTTTATTTATATAAAAATTTATTATTTTAATAATTATTAAAATAATAAAATAAAATTAATAATATAAATTTAATAAAAAATAAAAAATAAAAAAACGTAATATTAAAAAAAACGACGTAAAAAAAAACTAAAATAAATAATTAAAATAAAATTATCGTAATAATTATTATTATATTAATTATTATTATATTAATTATTATTATATTAATTATTAATTATATATATAAATATTATTTATAAAAATTAAAGTTTTATATATAAATAAATTATATGTTATTATGTAATTATTTTTATATAATAATATTTTAATATAATAATTAATTAACATTTTAATAATAATAAAATGAAATATAATAATATAATAATATAATATTTTTTTAAATATTTAATTAATAAATTTTTTTAATATATTTTAAATTAAATAAAATAAAATTAAATAAAATAACCTTACGTAATATAACTTTGGATTTGGTTTTAAAAATATTTATAATATTTAAATATAATTTTTCCGAATTTTATTTAATATATTTTATAATATGGCAGAATGGAAAGCGGTGAAACTTTCGGAATTTGCTTATTTCAATTGGGGTATCCGGTACATCGAGCAAGTGTCTATATCTGAACCGTGCCACAAATGAACAGGTGCTGCGTTAACGGTAGCCGCGGTAACTCGTGATCATTTAACTGTTTGTCGAATGGTTTTTTGTTTCCCGACCTGGGCACCGCATTTTATTGGTAGAATTGCAAACAGGGAACTGGTTTACTTGTTACCTTTCCGACGGCCGAATCCTTCCTTTGTGAGCTTCCTAATGAAGCTTTGCTGATCGGCATCTCCCCCGCTCTTGAGGCTCATGGATAGTTGGGGTAAAATGTCCCTGAATAATATGTAAACATGGGAATATTCAGAAATTTTAGGTCCAACGCGAAAGGAATGATAAGTTAGAGCACAGACTTTTACTCATTCTATTATTTGACTGTTGGTCTTTAGAACGGACAGACTCAATTTAATTATATATGGTTGGTCAGCTTTCATTACCGCTTCATTCCTGGGATATTCAGCTAAGCCGTGTTTATGTTCAAGTTGACAAAATTTCGTGCAAACATCTTATATCAGATATCCAACATATAACTACTATGCTTCATTTGAAATCCGGATTAATCCAATAATATATTAATCGCATATCATTCGCCTTTGTTTGCTTATATTCATCTTTCTGGTAGATTTTCAGTGTTTCTTGACTATGAGGCGCGTATCAACGCGTAAATATACCTCGGCCAGGTAGATACCTCACAGATAATTTGCCGGAAGGTCATTACGAAAAAAATCACGATTGCCTCCATAACTCTAAGTATGCTCATTCTATGACTTCTGCTGAATATCCCTCAACTTATCTACCGCTTCACGCTTGTGAGATTCCATGTCCAGCTCGAAAATGAAATTCCATCTTGGCGCGAGTAACCCCCTCAACTCATTCGCATGGAGATCTACCTGTCCACAGAGTATCTGGCCCGTCTCACGGCTGGAGTCGATGACTCGCTGGCACCGAGGGCGCCTTAACAGATCGTACGCTTCGAACGCAGCGTTAATGTCACTTGGGGATGAAATGTTGGCGAAAAGGGTTCCAAGGACCATCGCGTCTTCAATGGCTAATCCTGCTCCGGAACCTTGCCACGGCGTGGTTGCGTGGGCAGCGTCGCCCATAAAGCAAACGCGCCCGCGGACATATGTCGAGGTCGATTTATGTTCCCATTAAGAATATCCGTAAGGTTCTGGTTGGCCGCAGATAAGCTGCGGAAAGGTTAGCTTTCTCGTGGATATGGAAGTAGGGTATGACTTACACTAATCATACCGTCTGCAATTGGGCCACCCAGCCAGCTACTCAATGAGTCTCTCAACACGTCTTGTGTGAGCGGGCGCTTTCTGTCTCGACTTGTCGAGGGATCTTTTTCAATACCTGATACCACACACTGGACCATAGTTCCGTTTTCTAGGATGTCATGCATGATGAATGCCCCATCTCCGACCCAACCGTACTGCCGGTCAACCTCAAGGTATTTCTCACCTAGAATTGACTTTGCTTTCTCAAATGGAACAACGTTCCTGCAGTCCCAAAATCCGGCTGGCAAAGCATAGTGTTGTTAATCCGCTACAACGCCCTGAAGGACATGTTCCCGAACCGTGCTGAATATGCCGTCTGCGCCAATCACTGCATCGAATTGATAGACTGTGTCATCTTGAAAACTTATTTCAACACCGGATTCATTAGGGTTGATGGTTGTGAGTTTCTTATTAGGATGCAGGGCTTCTTTTGGTAACGGGGTGAGAAGTTCACAGAGGAGAGAAGCTCGGTGAACATTCATTCCAGGATCATCCGCGGCAAGGTCGAAGACGATAGTTCCCTCCTCGGGTCCTGAGCCCTGGTAAACTTGTTAGTGAGGCTTTTGAAATCGAAGACTTTATTATATATGTTCCTTACCAAAATAATTCGGGAGGAGTTCATGGGCACCGTTCCTGCTTTGTCGAGAACATCCGTGCCTGAAGGAAGGATCTGGTCCAGGGCTAGCTGAGCATTCTTAGCAAGCCCTACTGCCGCGCCACGTTCCGAGAATGTGGGTGCTGATTCAAAGACATGGAAATCTACTTGGGGAACGCGGACAAGAGCGTTCGCCAATGCGGCTCCAGCCAGGCCTCTCCACCGATGGTGGCCACACGAAACTGATTTTCTGTCATTGGCAACTGACTTTAAGTTACTGATCTTGCTTTGAATATATCGGCCAAGGGAATATGCTGTCCAGATAGACATCTTGTTTCGGGGAGGATATATTTTGATATATTTAACTGGTGTAGTATGATATATGTATTTCTACTTAATGGACTTGGTATGATCAAGATTTCCTATATTAGGTACCTAACCCTTGTAAAACTTGACCATTGGGGCAAGGAAATATCTAAAATCCAAAAGTTACATTGAATTGAAAACACCAATTTATTACTACCTAAACCAAAGATCTATTTTGCATCACCTTAATACTGCCTTGGTATAAACTATCCCCCTACCGCGGAATACTCCCGTTTAACCTTGGATACGCTGGATGAGCTTATCGCCTAGGCTTTGAATGCTTTCCTCGAATTCCTCGTAGTTCTGTGCATCCCACTTAGCTCCATTCTTACCAGGAACAGCATCGTCACCAGTGAAAGCAATGTACAACACGTCGTTTTCATCGTGTCCGTTGTTTCCAGTCATCCCCTCTCCGAAGCAAGCGGTAGCCAAAGAAATCGAGGCCTCTCCAACAACGGACTTCTCGCCGTCGACGCCGTTCTCGTCACCCCAGACTCCGTAGATCTTATCTCAGTTAGCTCGCCATCTTTCTTGTTGATAGGGATAGATAGGTATGTAGTCCTTACCAGCTTATCACCACATACGACGGCCATCACGCTCAATGGTTCAATGCCGTACTCCTGAGGGTCGAATGATGTGAAGCCGGGCTCGTCACCCACATTTCCGAAAACGACGTAGGGGTGGATCTTGGCGTCCAAGTCCTGGACACCCTTGCCGTATTCTCTTACGGTGTCGGCGAAAGACGTGATTGATTGAGTATCGTCGGAGTTTCCGCAACGGCCGTCGTCAGCAGGGCCGCCCTGAGTACCGTCGCAGTCGATATCCATGTTGGCGAACTGGCTATTGCCACCTTGGATGTAGATGACCTTAGAGTCTTCCAGATGGTCTCCGCAGTAGCTGAAGGCTGTGCCACATTAGCCCTGCATGGATATGTTTAAGAAGGGTGGGATTCGTTACAATTATCGTCATTGTATTCACTGTAGAACCCAGTAGCCAGAGGAGAGTCGCATTGGCCATTGCTCTGGATATTGTTATAGAAGTTCCGAACATTCGATGGAACGTCTCTGGCAAGAGTCGCACCTAGAAGCGTAGAAACTCCGAGAAAGCTTTTGAGAGACATTTTATAGTATATGGAATAAATGGGCTGTCTTGCAACGTTGATAAGTGATGGTGAGTGCTTGGTTTACAGAGTCTAGTCTATATTGAACGGAGCAGTCTGGCTCTATTTGTATAAATCCATTCGTAGGCTGCTTATGGCTTAACGCATGCCCCTTTCTATAAGGAGTGACATCGTGCGGTCCTAATAAGCTCACCGTTGCGGAAATGGAGCTGCAGCTATAATTAGATACTAGATATGGATACTGTTTACAGTCTGTTCTAGCGATTCTAGTAGGACTACGGCTGAGATAAGTGACATTCGATTGAGTATGACATGAATGGCGTGTCTCTGATTATTTGTACCTAAATTTTGATGGCATCAACTCATTCAATAATCTGACAGATTCACCAAATTTCGTATTAACGGTTCTCAAGGTTGCTTTAATACGATCCAGAAACGATCCACATGCGAAACAGTAATTGACTGTTCCGGAAGCTGAGATTTGATGACTGAACCCTTCGAATAGGGTTCCTTCTGTGAGGCCTTAGTCTATGCTATTCTATTGGCTTACTCGTAAAGCAGGCTATGCGATATGCTACCCTGTATTCCCCATACCGTAGGTAACTCCTTATTGCAACTCCTTCCAAACCTGGAAGTGCATTGGTATAAAGCACAGCTAACAGGAGGACACCCCTGTAGGGTGCCACAATAGCCCGAATTTATTGTTATTACATACCATAGCGGCAAAAAGTGGTTTTAAGAAACGGTTATCGGACGTAAAAATTATTTTATACCCAAAAATCATTTTTTAGTAAATAATTATTATTAGTTAAAAAGTATTTATCCGTTTAATTTATATAAAAAAGTATAAATATTAAATATAATATTTATATTAATAATTATTTACATTTAAACAACGTATTTTAAAACTTTAAAAATTAAATAATAATAATATATATTATAATTATTTAAAAACTTAAATAAATAACATATTTTACAAATATTTAATATTTTAAATTTATTTTTTTGCTATCGTTTATATATTTAAATATTTAACCTTTTATTATTATTTATATGTTTTGTTTAAACCTTTATTATTATTTATATATTTTATTTAAACTTTTATTATAATTAATAAAAGCTTTAATTATAAATAATTATTTATTAAATGTATATAAAAACTATAAAATATTTTTATAAATATATTATTTAATACATTATTAAATACGTTAAGTTTTAATAAAATATAATTAAAACTATTATAATTAATATTATAATTAAAATTTTAATTAATATTATTAATTAAATTTATTATAAATTTAATTAATTTAAGTACAATATATTTTAAAAGTGTAAATTTTATTTTAATATTTAAATAATTATGGTTTTTATAATTAAAATATAATCGAAATTTTTTAATAAATTATTTATTTTTTTTAAAAAAATAAACGTTATTTAATAAATAATTATTAACGTTATAAATAAAATTAAAACCATTATTATTATAATTATTATTATATTTTTATTTTAATTATTTTATATGTAGTAAATAAATTAATTTATTATATTTATAAATAAAATAATTATTTATATTTTATTTTATTTATCCGGTATATAATAAATAAATTATATTAAAATAACCGTTGGTATTATTTTACTTTATTTAATTACGGCCCCGTTTTTACTTGGTAAAAAATTAATAAATATTAATTGCTTTAATAAGTAATTAAATAAAGTTAATTTAAATAAATATCTTTTTTTTTATATTTTTTTATTTTATTGTTAAATATAATAAATTTATAAATAATATATTTTATTTTATTATTGGCGTATTTGGTAGTAATATTGGTAAATATTATAATAATGTTATTAATAAATATAACTTAAATAAATTAAATAAAAAAAAACTTTATAAAAGTATAAAAAAATAATAAATAACGTTAGTTTTAATATAAGGTAATAATTTTTATACTATTATTATTAATTTTTTTAAAAAAGGTTAAAGATATGCGTAATTAAATGGTATTAATTTTTTTATTTCGAATTAATTTTTAAAAATAAGATAATTTTATTTTAATTGTGGTAAAAATGGAAATTATTGCAAAATTATATTTTGTTTAATAGATAAATTTTTATATTTTATATTTATTTGCGGTTAAAATAAGTGCGTATATTATTTATTTGCAGTTAATTATTAATAAATTTAAGTATAATGTATGTATTTTAAATAAAGTTACGTATTTTGGTAATATAATAAAGTTTTTTATATAGGTTAAATATAATAAAAATGTTAACGTTAATAAAAAAAGTTTATTAATTTTTTAAAAAAGTTTATAATTTTAATAATTTATTAAGAATAAAAAATATTTAATTGGTAAATTTAAAAATAATTAAATATGAAAAATTTATTAATAATTAATAATAAAAGTAATAAAAAAAAATCGGAAATTAATTTTATTTATATTTGGATATGTAAAAATAATAATGTTTTAACGATATAATGTTGTTTATAATTTTTAACCGGAAATTATTTATTTTAAAAAATTTGGTAAAGTATAAATTGGTAAAATTAAATTTGTGTTTTTTTATTAAGTTTTATATATTTTTATAAAGTAAGTAATAAGCGTAATATAATAAAATATATTATAAATTATTTAAATTAATTATGTTAAAAAATAAAAGCGGTAATAACGGGGTGTAGTTTAAATAATAAATTTTTATTATTTTTTTTAATTATTAACGGTTTTTTTTGGTAAAAAAGGTTATAAAATTAATAATTGGTTTTAGTTTTATGTTAATTATAATAAGTTAATAAAATATATTATATATGTGTGTTTTTAAAACGTTATAAATATGCGGTTATTAAACGTAATTATTATATTATTGTTAATAAAAATAAAGTAATAAAAGGTAATAGCGTAAAATGTGGTTAAGTTTATATTTTTAATTGGTTAAATTTTTAAATTTATTTATGGTTTAAATGCGAACGTTATTTTTTTTTACTTTTTTTATTAATTGTAATGTAAAAAAAAAAAAAAAAAATTTTTATATTTTAATGTTAAAATTTAATAATTAATTATTTTATAAATTTATAATATTTATTAAAAAGGTTTATTAATTATATTATTTTGTATTTAATATAAGAAATATAATACGAAAGTTATTTTTATATTAAATAAAAAAAAAAAAAAGAAAAAATTAATATATATTAATAATAATTAATTTAATTAATTTTTTATAACGTTAAACCGTTTAATTTTAAAAATTATTAATAACCTTTTTATTATTTTTTTATTAATATATAAGTTAATATTTTAATAATTTATAACGTTATTTTAATTAAATTAATTTTTATATTTAAGAAATTATAAAAGTTATTCCGAAAATTATTTTAATAAATGTTATAATAAATGAAGTATTAAAAAGTTTATGGTTAAAATATGCGTTTACAATTAACCGGAATTTTATTTTTCTTAATTTTATAAGTTAAATTAATTTATAACCGAAAAGGTTAAATAAAGTTTTAATTAAATAAAAATATATTGTTATAAAAATAAATATTAATTTTAATTTAAATAATTATAAGTATAATTAATTTACATTTAATATTATTAAATTTATAATTAAGTTTTTTTTAATTAAATTTATTTTTAAATAGTTTATTATTAAATAATTTATTATTAAATAATTTATTGTTAAGTAATTTATTACCGGGTAATTTATTTTTAAATATATTGTTTATAACGTAATTGTTTAATTGTAAATTAATAAATATGTTTTTAATAAATTTGTTTTTAATAAACTTATTTGTGTTAATAATGTTTTTATTAAATTTAACGATGGTATGTTTATTTTTATTAAATGATATAAAGTTTAACGTGTTAAATTAATTATTACGTGGCATATTAACGTATGTGTTAAACGAAAAAGTATTAAAAGATAAAAGTAAAAGTAAATTATTAAATTTAAAACGTTAAAAATATCGAAACTTTTGTAATTTAAGTATTTGTTTATAAATTAACGTATTTTAAATGTTTTAAAGTAAAATTTATATAAAATTATTTAATTTAATATTTTTAAATTTTTTAATTTTATAAATTAATTTAAATATTTTGTAAATATTAATGCGTTTATTTAAATTAATATTTTATTTAAAATTTATTACTGGTTATTTAAAATTTTATTTAATATTTAAATTAAAAACGGCTTTTATTTTAATAAATTTATATAATTTATTATTAAATAAATAAAATATATACCGGAAATATTAGAAAAAAAGTTATATTTTATTAATAAAAGTTTTTTAATAATTAATAACGGATATAATTTAAAGGTTATAAATATATTTAAATATATTAAAATCTAATTTGTTTTTAATTTATTGGCGGAATAATAAAAGATTTATTTTTTATAATTTTATTTTAATTAAATAATTATTTATAAAATTATTAATATATTTTTTTTTATATTAATACGTTTTAAATATTAAAATTAATAAATTTATATAAAAACTTTCGAATAAGAATTTATATTTTATAATTTAAAATAATTTTATAATATAATTAAATAATTTTTTAAATTAAAATAATAATAAATTTAATTTTAAATATTAGTTTTA